TTATATGTGCTATATGTGTTTACATGCTTATTTCTATATATGAGTGTTCCTTTTTATGTTGAGATATCCACTGAGCTTTATTTGCTCAGCGAGTTACCTGTTTAACTCGCAGGTTTTGAGACTGGTCCATAGAGAGTCCGCCTACAACTGCTGCAGTTCATCTGTAGAAGACTCAGTCTTCAGGGTAGCTACTCATTTGGATGTATATCTTTTGTCTATTTGTTTCATGGCATGTACAGGGCACACAGTTGGGCCCATTCCATTGTGTAACTAGTAACATGTTTTGTAAATATGCAGTACATTATTTATGTAAACAACATCAGCATGCTATTATGAATTCAGCATATCAGGTCATTAAGTCAACCAGTTTGTAACGTCTCGGCTCGATTTATTCGGGTTTATGGGTGGACCGGGAAGGGATGTTACACATAGTCCTGACAAATAATAAATCTTCCTTTGGGCCGATATATCATTGTCATGGAAAATAATCAACAATTATCACATACTTATTGCCAAACATGTGTTTAAAACTCAGCCAAATAGCAACCTTCCTTTAGGCCGATTAACTATCCGCAACGAATTCTAGTACACCTGTCTAATACTCTAAAATAAATCAATTCAAGGAATAGAGGTCACTTTGGTGACTTATTGGGTGACTTATTGATCAAATCAATTTATTTTAACAAATATTAAACACAATAGGGACTTAATCACTCCAAAATTTAATCTCAAGTCGACAAATTAATTCATATTGTAATTAAAACAAAACAATTGCAATTAAATGAATTGAATGTCTAAATATTTAATAATCTAAAATTATTTAGCCCAAATATATATATATATATAAGTCACTAAATTAGAGACTAAGTTATAAAATTGGACTAAATAAATAAAGTTCGGGGTCTAATTTAATTAAATATATGTCCATAGGTCTAGAATAGGACTAAATAAATTTGAATAAATAAAGTTCGGGGGTCTAATTTAATTAAATATATGTCCATGGGTCTAGACGAAAGAAAACAGAAAATTAGAGGCCTAATCAGAAGTTAAAGAAACTCAGGAGCCTAATCTGAAGTTACAGAAAATTAGGGGTCTAATCTGAAGTTACAGAAACTTAGGAGCCTAATACGAAATTTTTCAGGGACCTAACCGTAATTTACCATCCCTAACCTTAAAACCAAAAAAACAATCAGAGACGGAAACTCCTTTCCGCCGACTCTCTTCAAAGAAACCAGCCTGTTTCTTCTTCTTTTTTTTTTTTTTTTTTTTTTTTTTTAAAAAAAAAAAAAAAAAAAAATTACCAAACCAAAACAATTAATCGTCAATGGCGTTAGTTCAAAACCTCTTACCTGTTCTTGGGGATCCGAAGTCGAAGAACAGTGAGCAACAAAAAAAATTTCTTTTGTTTTTTTTCTAGTAAACAAAGACCCTCCAATCGTAAATACGTAGGGTAAACAAATAACAAAGAAAACATTTACGAAGAATCAATCTAAAATCTACAATTATCGCACAAGGCTCGGATACCACTTTGTAAGAATTAATCTCAAATAATTCAATACATAACCTAGATCGTGCAAACCACGATTCAACAAATAGATGGAATAAAGAAAAGATTAGCGAAAAGGTTGCGTACCTGACATCGTTGTTGGTCGATCTTGATGTGTAGAATTAGGTTTGCAGCCTTCCAGAGAATTGAAGAATCGATTAGCGGAAGCAATACGAAAGGAACGTAAAATTGAATCGTATTCAACTCCTCTGGGGACCACTACCTTTATATACCTGTAGCGTTAGTATAATTTCTATTTCGCTATTTCGGTCCTTTAACGAAATAGGAATTATATAATGGTCTCTACACTTAATATCTATAATTAGTTGATACCTCAATAGTCAATTATTTACAATCAAAACCACATTTGAAATTGACTTTACAATTGGACTGCTGTACATATTTTTTTTTACATATTAAAGACCACATTTGAAATTGACTTTACAATTGGACTGCTGTACATATTTAATTTTACATATTAAGCCCACAATAGAAAATTAAATCCAACAGGAATGCCCAAGTTATTACTAACGGGCAAAAAAATTTAAATTTCGTTCTCAATCCAGCAGTGCTTGTATTAATGGCAAATAAAGAAGCAGCAAGACCGGTTCATCAGCATAATTTTTCCTAGGGGAGGCCAAAATAAAAATAAATTTATTTGTCTGAACTATATAAATAAGTTATTTATTTATATTTGCAAGTGAAATTTTGTCTGAGTGAAAAAACTTATTTTTAGAGCCAATTCAATAAGTTCTGTAATCCATTGGATGAAAAGTTAAAATTGCCCATACAGTTATAAAATGATACTATATAATAATTTAACAATAAACATACCACCTCTTAATTATTTAATCCAATAAAATAATAAATTCAAGTGCAACATTTAGAATTCAGCCTAAATAAAGAGTCTCATGAGTAGTTGTATTAGCAATTCAAGAATCGTTAATTTATCTTTAATTTATCTTTCGACTGTAAATGAATCGAGTCGAGCATGATTTTTGTTTGAAAATCAAACTCGAGTTTAATTTCTTTATGATTTCTAATTAAAAAAAAAAAAGAAACTTAAATACTCGTCGAGCTCAATTCATTTAATCCAATAAAACGAGCTCATATAAATTTTTTTTATACCCAATAGCTCAAAAATGATTTAGCTCATTTGCAACTCTATTTGTTAGTACATTATGGCTCCCTCCAACTAAAAAAGAAGCTTGTAGTACATATGATAATAACACAATTAATATATTTATATATAGAGAGAAAGATTGTAAAAACGTCTTTGTCGTTTTTGAAAAGTGGTTTTCAGTTGTCTGATAGAAAATCAATAATTAATAACAAGTACATAGTAGGTGTTATGCCAATTTCCTACTCAATTAATTTGACCACTGAATATTAGGTAAAAGCAGTGGAATAATGTTTATTTTCCCTTTTAAATTTAAAGGTAATATATAATTTATTCAAAATTTAATTTTTTTTTATACAATTACCATCTTAAATTACACCATTTTAACAAAAATAAAATAAAATTATATTTTCTAATATTTGTAATTAGCAATAACTATTTAACTTAAAAACAAAACATCTAAGAACTATTTTATATTTTCAGTTAATAAAAATTGTTGTTTTATTTTATTTTTTGGTAAGAATTGGGGGTTTTAATCATTTGGTTGTAAATTTGAAATATTAATTATGATTTTTAGACAAATTGTATATTATGGTTAAATTTAAGAGGACAAGTGAAATATTATTCCCAAAAATAATCTTCCCCGGTGTGTATCGCAAGCTTTGCATGTGTAATAATTGTTTCATGATGTGGTGTTTCCTTTGGTAACTATGCTATTCTCAGGCAAATCATGTCCAATTAAGCTTTGAGCTCACACTTTATGCATTTTTACAATAGGGGTATTAATTTTTATTTTTATTTACTATTTTAAGATTAAAAAAATTCAACTAGTTATGTGAAAGCTTACTGATAATGCCACTTGGTTTTGAAAAAAAAAAAAAAAAAAACACTCAAATAAGAGAAGATGAATTTGAAAAATAAGTATATATATTATTTTTATTATTGATATCTTAATGTCTTATAACTATTAATTGAGAGTTCGTGCATGTACATGTTCGGGATTAACTTGCTTAGATCGGGTTCATGGCTTCATTAATGAACCATACCAATAAAAATATGAATTTTTATCGAAACAATAATATTTCTATCAATATGAAAAAAAAAGATAAAGTGAAAATAATTTTTAAAAAATTCATATTTTCATCGGTTTAATCTATAGACATGGTTTAAACAAGTATAATTCATAATTATTTAGTATTTTTATTGTTTTTATTATTGATATCCAAGTGTTAGAAATGACAATTGAAACACAATCTACATTTAACAAATAGTTTGAGAAATTTTGGCTTATAGATTTGTTTAATGCATTAGTCAAATTTAGTGAATTAAATATCAATTGAATGTAGTGGGGGTAAGTTTAAAAAGCAATCGCCATAAAATAATGCAATAATTAGTGAATTACTAAATAATCAAACAATTAGTTTGAGATTAGAACTTATTTATTGTGGTTTGATGTATTAAATTCTAAGCAATTACCCACCAAAGTAGATGCTTAAACACAATCAGTATTTTGTTTTGTTTCCTTACTTTGTTTCTGCCGACATGAGGGTTCGAACCAATTCCAACCAAGTTCATAAGTGTTTTGCAGTTAGTAACATAATTTGGAGTTTTTCCATTATATTTTACCGGGTTATTTTATATTAGATGAATAAGAGCATTTTCGCACAATACAATATAATAAGACTAAATTATTATTATTATTATTATTATTATTTTTTAAACGTTATTAAGCTTTAATTTAGTCCTTATTTGAATTGATAGAATGTGAAATCAATAGATTTTCTTTAAAAAAAAAAATCCATAAATTTCATATTCATAAAATTTTACATTCTTCATTTGATCAAAAAATAAAATCAATCGATTTGAAGAATATTATAAAAATAAAATCACATGATTTATATTTTATTATCAATAAAGTGATGAAGCTATTGTTATCAATAACGATGCGATCAAGTTAAAAAAAAAAAAAAGCAAAAATCTCACATGTGATAAGAAATTTTTACATATTAAAAGATGGTGAAATTTTAATAGAATTTATTATTCATGGATATTGACTTATTTTTTTCAATCAAATAAACAAATATAAAAAATTTATATAAAATTTAAATTTCACTAATTGAAACCATTATATTATATTGAATTTATTTTTAATGAGATAAATATATTATTTTAAACTTTGAAATTCGAATTAATTAGTGTAATTAGACATAAATTGGCAGGAAGATTATGCGATCTCCTAGGGTAATTTCAAAAGGAGGACAGTATTTGTCACTAAGTCAAACCATAGGGTGACATAGTAATTTTCATTTTCTCATCAAAAACAATAAAACCAAAAAAAATAAACAAAACTTTCCCCTGGTTTGGTGGGTGGTGCGAAAACGAGCGCTTTTTCATTTTGTCTCCCTGCTCGCTGCATCGTTGTGGATTTTCTTCCTGCAAATCCTTACCTGGATCTGTAAGTTATTTTGCTTCTGTTATTATCACACTTATCGATTATCTTCTCATACGAAATCAAATGCATTAGATTCTAAGTGCAATTTTGCTATCTATCTTTTGACCGTTCTCATGTTAAGTTATGCTGCTGCAACTTCTAAGAGATCTCATAAACCCTAGATCTTGCTCTCCTCGCGCTTGTATTTCTTTGATTTAGGGTTTTGATTTTTGGATCTCGAGGTTTTGGTTTAATTGCAGCTCCAATTTTGAGGTGTTGGAGGAGGAGAGCTGTAAATTGAGGAAAATTTGAGGGTATTTAGGTATTCTTTTACCCAGTAGATCGAAAGGGTTAGGAAGAAGGCTGTTATATTAGATGGCTTCGAATCCTCCATTTCATGTGATGGAGGATCAGACGGATGAGGATTTCTTTGATAAATTAGTGGACGATGATTTTGGGCCTACTGATCCCGTTTCGGTCCCCAAGTTAACTGAGGGCAGCGATTCAGATGAGGCCAGAGCCTTTGCTAATCTGAGTATTGATGATACCACTGGTGAAGGCGAAGGTGGAGTTGAGGGGAAAGGTGATAATGATTCAGTGCATGCCAACCCTGTGTTATCTGGTGTACATGCAGAAGAAAGCAACACGTTGAGTTCATCGAATTCATTGGGGTCCAATAGCATAATTGAGTCAAATAATGATGCGACTGCATCAGAGGTTGTACCTGATTCAATAGCAAGTCAATCTAGTGGATCTACGAAATCAGGAATTAAGGAGGTGGGGTGGAGTTCATTTTATGCTGATTCCGTTCCTAATGGCAATCATGGATTTGGTTCGTATTCAGATTTTTTTAATGAATTGGGAGGTAGTTCAGAGGATTTTCCGGGAAAAGTTGATGAAAGTGCTAATTTAGAAAATAAAGCTAGTGATGGATTGCATAATTCAGTCATCTATGAGCCACATCAAGACCTTACACAAAGTTATGAAGGATCCTTTCAAGAGAATGTCAATGGGCAGGATTTGAATAGCAGTCAGTACTGGGAAAGCATGTACCCTGGTTGGAAATATGATGCCAGCACTGGACAGTGGTACCAAGCTAGTGATGGTTACGATGCAAATTCAAATGTGCAAGTAAGTTCTAACGCTAATGCAGAGAATGAATGGGCCTCAGTTTCTGATGGGAAAACAGAGCTGAATTATTTGCAGCAGACATCAAAATCTGTGGTGGGAACTGTAGCTGAGACGAGCACGTCTGAGACTGTCTCCACTTGGAATCAGGTTTCACAGGAGACTAATAATGGTTACCCAGAACATATGCTTTTTGACCCACAATATCCTGGTTGGTATTATGACACTATTGTGCAAGAATGGCGCACCCTGGAAAGCTACACATCATCTGTTCAATCAACAAGTGTTCAAAATCATGATATGCAGAAACAAGATGAATTTGCTTTGGTTGATTCATATTCACAAAATAATAGCAGTACTTATGGTGGATATCAGCAAGGTGACAAGTATGGTTCACAAGGCTACAATAACCAAGGTCCGCATGGTAGCTGGGGTGAGTCTTATGGTGGTTACAATCAGCAAGGTTTTAATATGTGGCAACCTGACACTGTTGCTAAGACTGATACTGTTTCAAATTTTGATGGAAACCAGCAATTACATAATTCTTATAATTCAAATGCATCTATGAACAATCACGTGGAGCCACACAAATCTGTTAATTCTTTGGGGACAGCCTTGTCGTATGACAATATGAGTCAGAGTCATGTTGAGGCCAATGGGTTTATTGGGTCACAAAGTTTTATGCCTAGTGGGAACTTCACTCAGCAATTGAATCAGGGAAATCTGAAGTTGAATGAACAAATGAACATTTCAAATGATTACTATAGCAATCAGAAAGCAGTACATGTTGCCCAGCAATCATTTCAGAGCAACCAGCAGTTCTCTTATGCTTCCAACACCGGGAGATCATCTGCTGGGCGTCCCCCACACGCCTTGGTGACCTTCGGATTTGGTGGAAAGCTCATAGTAATGAAAGATGATAGTTTAAATTCTCTTGGAAATTCATCATTTGGAAGTCAGGTGAGCCCCCTGAAACATTCTCTTCGCTGTTCTATTTTACAGATGCCTTTGGTTCCAAAAGACTAGGAAAGTGAATAAATTATAATTCAAGAAGTTGAAATGCATTGATTATCTGAAAAAATAAAAAGGAAAAAAGAAAAAAAACCAAAATTTCTTATTTTCTTGAACTAATTGTGGTTGCTTCTTATATAAAGGAACCTGTAGGAGGCTCAATAACTGTCCTGAATTTGATGGAGGTTGTCACTGGAAATACAAATAATGCTCAAAGTGTTGGAGGGAACACTTGTAATTATTTTCATGCTCTCTGCCAACAATCCTTTCCAGGTCCGCTGGTGGGAGGCAATGTTGGAAGCAAAGAGTTAAATAAGTGGATTGACGAGAGAATTGCTAATTCTGAATCCCTTGACATGGACTATAAAAAGGTTGAAATATTGAAGTTGCTTCTCTCCTTGCTTAAAATATCTTGCCAACATTATGGAAAACTTCGATCTCCTTTTGGCACTGATGCTTCTTTGAAGGTAGATCACTTTTTTTCTTTTTCAGCTTTTTCTTCTTGTAACTTGAATATTATTGCATCTAAGACTCCCTGAATATTCATGTAATTGTCTATATATTTTTCCAACTTATGTGAGGCAATATGGAAAATGAAAAAGACTGCTATATAGCACCCCCTTTTTTTCTAAAAAAGAGTTTTTCATGTGACCGTTGTGAATTTTTTATCGCAAGTGACCTTTTCTTGGTTCATAAGAGTTCATTATTTTTTCTGTTGCTTGGCACAAGTACTTATGTGGTTTACTCTGCTGGATCTGTTTTAGGATATAAATTATTTAGTTGATAAGTATCCATTGAGAAGCATTTGGCAGAAACCCTATGCCATCTTCCCTTCCTCCCAACCAAAGCACCACCAATCATACTTATGTCTCTCTCTCTCTCTCTCTCTCTCTCTCTCTCTCTCTCCTCTAATATTCCACTTTCAATATCCTTGTTATGAGATATTTCTGTAAAACAAATTTGGAAAGTCATATTCTATAGCACTCTTTCAAGTTCGTTGAGGGTACCTTTGAATGAACAAAACATGATCATGACTCGCTGGAAATGTTTGGGCTTGGAGAAGAGCAAAAGAGAAATATTGCAAGGGTTCCAAGCCCTAAAGTAGAAAGAGTAGTAGGTCTAGTGTAATGACAGAAAAATATGCACGATCCAAAGTTTTTATGGTGAAGGCAGAGGTTTCAGTACATCTGCTTCATTTTATTGATGGCAAAAGTTTTGTCAGTTTCTCTGGATTTTACTTGCGAGAATTTTGGGTTAACTTGTTGCTTTTTATTTTTTTTTATTGTTAATTTATGTTAAGTTATTTTGAGTTAAATAGCCCCACTTGCAATCCTAATGCGTGTTCTTAATTTCTGCATGGCTATAATATTATTGGAAAGCCAAATATGTAAATAACTAAACTGTGATTACTTTTGTAGGAGAGTGATTCCCCAGAATCAGCAGTGGCAAAACTTTTTGCATCTGCCAAGAGGAATGGCATACAATTCAGTGATTATGGTGCTGTTAGCCACTGTTTGCAGAGGTTGCCATCTGAAGAACAGATTCGGGTATCCAATAAATCACTATGCAATGTTGCACTATACTATGGCACTTCATCATTTTGTGAAAGATTTTTATGTATGTTTCAGGCAACTGCTTCCGAGGTACAGGATCTTCTGGTTTCTGGTAGAAAGAAAGAGGCTTTACAGTGTGCCCAAGAGGGCCAGTTATGGGGACCTGCGCTCGTGCTTGCATCGCAGCTTGGGGATCAGGTTTATTGTCCAGTTCACTTTTTTTTACATTATTCTGTTTAGGTAAATTCATCTTTAAGGCAGACTATTTAGATGTTCACTGCTTTGTGTGTGTTTGCATACTTTTGTTGCTGGAACAGTTCTATGTTGATACTGTAAAGCAAATGGCACTTCGCCAGCTTGTAGCAGGATCACCTTTGCGGACATTATGCCTGCTAATTGCAGGGCAACCAGCTGATGTATTTTCTGCTGATGCCACGGCTGGCAGTGGTCTTCCTGGTGGAATTTCTCAGCAGCCTGTCCAGGTGATGCATTATGCCTGTCTTTTTGCCACAGTAAATGGCTAGGTTAGGCATTTAGAATCTGTGCAATACTTTGGATTCTTTTAATGAGAAACCAGTTATCTTAGCATCAAAGAAATAAGTGGGGGATATGTCGCAGGAAAGGAACATGCTTGTTTCAAGCAAACTCAAATCAATATGGGAATGATGTCTTGAAATGTATGTGATATTGATATTGCTGCTGACTTGTGCTGGTTCTTTTCTAGTTTCCGTGTGACAGGCAATGACCATATGTTTAGTTATATTTCATATCTTCTAGGATGAGTAACACGTAGGCCTTGATACTGCTGCCATCTTTTGACTTTACTATATTTCCGTTATGTCTCAGCCTTGGAAAAGGATGTATGGCTTTATTTATCCATTTTTGAAATTAATTGTCAAAGTTTGGCAATTAACTGCAGTTTGGAGCAAATGGCATGCTTGATGATTGGGAAGAGAATTTGGCTGTAATAACTGCAAACAGGACCAAAGATGATGAGCTTGTGATTGTTCATCTTGGAGATTGCCTATGGAAGGATAGAAGTGAGGTATCTCATCTTTTTATGTCATTAATTTTTGAGTACTTACCAAAGTTTTGTTCCCAAGTCTTACTGAAAATTAATTTCAGATTACTGGTGCACACATATGCTATTTAGTGGCAGAAGCAAACTTTGAGTCATATTCAGATACTGCAAGATTGTGTCTTATTGGGGCAGATCACTGGAAACATCCTCGAACATATACTAGTCCAGAAGCTATTCAGGTCATCTTTCTTCATTTATTTTTGGCTCTTTTGTTCATATTTTATTTATTTGTCAATGTTTTAATGGCTTCTTGTATGCTCGTATGAGAGCGAATTTATATTCAGGATTGTGAGATAGTTCCAGTTAATATAGAGTTTATTGGAGCATATTCTTTTAGTTTTTGAAGTCTTGGTTAATGTTCAAACCATATTAAGAGAATTGGAATGACAATCTTAGACTCATTTCTCTCTCTAAAATATGATTCTATTCACAAGTGGTATTTCATCTTATCAAGTTGGTTTGATGGGTGTATGGACAGAGAACGGAATTGTACGAATACTCAAAGGTGCTTGGCAACTCCCAGTTTATTCTGCTACCTTTTCAGCCGTATAAGCTGATATATGCATACATGCTGGCTGAAGTGGGCAAAGTTTCTGATTCATTGAAGTAGGTGGAAAATTTCAAATTTGATGCTTTTTGTAATTCTTCCTTCATTTGGTTTTCTGAGCTCTATGAGTTGATTCAGGTATTGCCAGGCAATATTAAAATCTCTAAAAACTGGTCGAGCTCCAGAGGTTGAAACATGGAGACAATTGGTGTTATCCCTTGAGGATAGGATTAAAACCCATCAACAGGTGTTTCTCTATCTCCTACTTCATAGCTTATTCATAATTGTTGTACAAAACTTAGTTACCGAATATTCTGTTTTCAGGGTGGATATACGGCAAATTTGGCTCCGGCAAAGTTGGTTGGTAAATTGCTTAATTTTTTTGACAGTACAGCACATCGTGTTGTTGGGGGTCTACCACCACCTGTACCATCAACATCACAAGGAAGCGTACAAAATAATGACCATTATCAACCGCCAATGGCACCTAGGGTATCAGCTAGTCAATCAACTATGGCCATGTCATCATTAATGCCATCTGCTTCAATGGAGCCCATGAGTGAATGGGCTGCTGATGGGAGTAGAATGTCAATGCATAACAGAAGTGTTTCTGAACCAGATTTTGGTAGAACTCCAAGACAGGTGGGTAATTATCTCCTAGTTGAAAAACACATATAAACTAGGCGCTTCCTGTTTGTGCTTATTATATTGCATAAAATTTATGAGGTCTTGCTGACTTGTGGTGGGAATCAGGTTGATTCATCGAAGGAAGGAACCTCCTCTAGTGCACAAAGCAAACCATCAGGTTCAGGTGGTGCATCTCGCTTTGGTCGTTTTGGTTTTGGTTCACAGCTTTTGCAAAAGACAGTGGGGCTAGTCTTAAGGCCCCGCTCAGATCGACAGGTAATTGTTGTTCAATATTTGATTTTTTTTATTTTTTATTTATTTTTTATTTTTTATTTTTTATTTTAAATTGAATTAGACAATGGTGAGCCTGTTAATGACTATTGTTTGCATTTGAAGGCTAAATTGGGTGAAAAGAACAAATTCTATTATGATGAAAAGCTTAAGAGATGGGTAGAGGAAGGTGTTGAACCCCCTGCAGAAGAAGCAGCCTTGGCACCACCCCCTACAACTTCAGCCTTCCAAAATGGAATGCCCGACTACAACTTGAAATCTGCACTGAGTGATGGATCTCCGAATAATGGGAGCCCAACATTTAACACTCCAACCTCTGTGGAACAACACTCTTCTGGGATTCCACCTATTCCGACCAGTTCTAATCAATTCTCAGCTCGTGGGCGGATGGGTGTACGAGCAAGGTATTTATTATCATTTGTTTTACTTAGGCTGGAGTTAAATCATGTGAGAAGTACTTGATAGAAATTAGCAAAAATGGTTCCTCTTGAACAAGCATGTTTTGGTGGGTTAGCCGATGGGGAGGATGGTTCTTGGGGTTGATGACTCATTTGCGTTCCATTTTTCCATATTTATTGTTTAGTGATCAGTTGAACGGCCACAGCTCTTCTTAAAGAATGATATTCATTGGTATCTGGTATTTGGTATTTGGCAGGTACGTGGACACCTTCAACCAAGGTGGTGGAAGCTCAGCCAAGTTATTCCAGTCACCTTCTGTTCCATCTGTCAAACCAGCTGTTACTGCAAATGCAAAGTTTTTTGTTCCCACACCTGTGCCATCAAGTGAAGTTTCAACAGAAACTATAGCAGAAAATGTGCAAGAAACCACATTTGTTGAAAATCCTTCTCCACCAACTGAAGAGACTTTCCAATCTCCAGCAACTTTTTCAAAAATGAATATGCATAGGTTCCCAAGCATGGATAATATTACGAGGAAGGAGACAAGTATAAATGGCAATGCCCCACTGTCATCTAATTCTCGACGAACCGCTTCATGGAGTGGCTTCAGTGATTCTTTTAGCCCTCCTAGAACTATGGAAACCAAACCTCTGGGAGAGGCACTGGGCATGCCTTCACCTTTCATGCCTGGTAATCCTTCTATGGCACATATGCAACGGAGTGGTAGCAGCATTGGAGAAGACCTTCATGAGGTGGAACTTTAGCGGAGTAATGATGTAAATATGAGTTTTGTTCCTTGTGATCTATACGATACTTGGGATGAGCGATAGCATGCTGCATCTCAAAAGCAACAGAATGTTTTCACCAGCGACGGGGTTCAAAAAGAGGAAAGCAAAAATGTTTTCACAGAATTTCCCCGCCATTTCCTTCTCCTCATAAATGTAAGTTGAAATGTGGTTGGCACATTATATACTTACTGTAATCAATTACATGCCTAGGCTTTTACCTGAATGTCATAGGAGTTGCCACCATCTAATGCTTGAGGAGCTGATTTTTGTTTTCTTTCCCCCCCCTTAAAACTATAAAACAAAGAAAGCCTGCAAGGGCACCTGTTGTACAGTTGGTCATTTGTTCATTTGTTGAGGACAGGGAAATTCTCTCGAGCAAGATAGAAGCAAGCCCCTTAAAATCTTGTTGAGTGACAAAATATTGTACTCATTTGGAAAAAATAAAACATTTGTTTTGCTCCACTGTATTCCTATAAATGCTTTATGAAAGTTAAATTATTAGAAACGAGGATGGAAACCGGTTTTTGCTAGAATGGGTTATGCAGTCAAAAATGTTTGTCGTTATCGATGCGTTGGCGGGTTTTTACATGAGCTTTCTCAGGGTTTATGCAGTCAAATTCGAATTACAATTAAATTAATTAAAAGAATCAGTTACTTGACAAGGGAATGGGAAAAAATTGAAAATCAATTCACACTGCTTCTCTGTCACGCTTTTTTGTTGTTATGGAAATCGATATTTGTTGTGTTCTATATATCATAAAAAATTGTAATTTAACCAAGTTAAATAGTAGTATTAGTTAATTATAATCATCAATCCGAAAATCAATATACTCTCACAGCAACAAATCAACAAATAAGAGAGCTAAATTGTAAAAACTCGATACAACTGCGTAATGATAATACTATTCAAAATGTCCACTTATAAATACGTAAATTTACATTTGGTTTGTTTACACAAAATATTAGCAGTAATGCCCGATAAAAGGCAGCCATTATATCACTTCAAGTCCAAAGAGATTTTTGCCTAAAAAGTTCTTAAATTATAATTTATTCCAAACAAAATGAAATAATCTAAAGATGGAATCAAAGAGAGGAAAATGTCCGGGGGAGAAAACACAAAAAAGAAACAAATCATACGTTTACTAATTTTGCCATTCAAAATTCAGCTGAACCCGGTGTCCTAGGGAAAGGTATAGCATCTCTTATATTATCTATTCCGGTTGCAAATTGAACCAGCCTTTCAAAGCCCAGTCCAAAACCCGCGTGAGGAACTGGTAAGATGTGAAAACAAGAGATCAGAACACCAAATTTTGAACTAAAACATTTCAGCTATTCAGAGGATATCATACAAATTTCATGACAGCTGTAGTACTACATAATTCAAACAACCTAGTATCTTTGCTTCAAAATTTTCTCCATCGATTGAAAAGCTATATAAACTATATAACGAGTATGCCAATATGAGCCAGCATCTTGACTAGGAATAAAGCAAAAGTCAATGATTCAAGTAAACCACAAGGATATGCTAGAAGACATTATATATGGTTCGACATTATATATGGTTCTAGGGCCTACCCACCTATGGCTCGGAAACATTGATTTTTCCTCTTTTTTTTTTTCTGCCTTTGAGTTAATTCATGCACAAGACCTCCACAGAAATGAACCCTCAAGAAAGAAAAAAAAAAATGCTGGCAAGGGCATGGGTATGGCTGTCATCTGGTGAAGGAACCATGGCCCCACTGAAGAAAATGACGTATTGGGAAGAAACTCTGGGTTTTAATTGTTACGAATTAAACATTGAGAAGTTTTGTAGACATTTTTAAAGCACTTACGAAAGCAGAATTCCTAAATCATAAACAGAATTTATACGATTGATTTCAACAGATGTCACGGTCACCCAATCAAGAGAATAATTAGCCTCAGTTTCAGTGAGTAAAATTCCTCACCTGAACCATAACGGCGCAGATCCAGATACCACCAGAAACTGTCCTTGTTTAGTTTTAATTCATCCAGACGATCTTCCAGATACTCAAGTCGGTCTTCTCTTTGACTTCCACCAATAAGCTCCCCAACCTGAAAAACAAAAAGAGCAATAGAAATATTTTTATATGAGACTGTTCCATTCAGACCCCATTTGTTAAAACAAGTTTTACATCATTTCGAGAATTAAGCCCAGATATTTCATTGTCCCCTGCTAAAAATGAAAATAAATAAGCAATTGGCATAATGAATGACATTCTCATAATCTCATTTCAGGCCTGTAAAGAAATCAAAATTAATTTTTCCAAAAAATAAACTTGTAAAGAAGTATTATATTAAAATCATCTCAAAGATACTATAGTCCCCAACATAAATAATGTTCATGAATCACAGGCTTCTTGCTTTTCAAGTATCTCTGGAGGTTGCCAGAGGCTACTAAAGGCTCAAGATGACAGCTATTGACTAAATTATACTCGTAATAATTAACATAAAATAATTGTTACCCGAGGAACCAATAAATCCATGGCTGCAACAGTCTTCCCATCATCATTTTGCCTCATATAAAAAGCCTTGATCTCCTGAGAGTTTTACATTGAGAGATTCAGAACAAGAACAGTAATAGATTCCATATGTGTCTGGCCTTCTTCAAAATCAAAAGAAAAAGAGAGCTTGTAAGGGGCATGCCTTTGGATAATCTCTTATTATGACAGGGCATCCACCAAATGCTTCTTCAGTAATATATCGCTCATGCTCACTTTGCAAATCACATCCCCATTTCACCTAGAAATGTGCAAGAGAAAAGAGTATTTCACCTCATATCAAGAAATAGCAGGAAAAAAATGAAAGAGATAAGAAATAGAAATTCAGAGTAGTCACTTATCCTGAACAAAGAAAAGACATTTAGAAGGTAGTAGAAACAGTTACTCTACAGAATAAATATCCAATCAAATATGCCACCTATTACCAAAGAAAGGATAGAAGTAAAACATACAGTACCGGAAATTCAAACTTCTTATTTGCTCTAAGAAGAAGTTCAACTGCATCAGTGTATGTCAACTGCACAAAGTTTTTCTCAGCAACATCCTGTTGATAAAAAAAATAAAATTCCAAAATGTCAAGGCATGCATGATAAAATCTGTCAAATTTGGGCATTATTGTGAAGCCCAAACCATCACATTGTGAACCAAATTAATAAAACAAAGTAACAGCAAGAGATTAAATGTATGACAGAAAGGTTGAAGAAGGATAAGTTACACTTGAGAACTCATACACTCAATCGATCGATGATGCCTTTCTCAATCCAAGTATTGAAGAAGTTCATATCTTCCTTGCAATTGTCAAGTATATGCCTCACCTTGAAAACATAAATATGTAAATCATCCAATTAGTAAATGTGCTTCTGAGTGGCTGCAAGCTGCTTCCACTCCATAAGTGTTGAATTAATGGCAAAGATGGTGTGAAAGGTAACATACTACATACTGGAGATAGGCAGTTGCACAGGCCATGTCATCATTCAGATCAGCAAATGCAAGTTCTGGTTCAATCATCTTATATAAAGGGATAGAAAGAGAGTAGTAAGATACTACACTAGCACATGAGACGCATTAATATTAATAATAATAATAAAAATTAACAAGGAATGCTTACCCAAAATTCAGCTAAGTGTCTAGAAGTATTAGAATTTTCAGCTCGAAATGTGGGACCAAATGTATACACCTGAGAGAAATTGTAGAATTGTACGATCAAAAGGGTTCAGATAGCTCACATTTTCAAAGTGGCTTTTATGAAGACAAGGATGAGTAGAAAATTTATACATCTGATAGAGCAGTAGCATATGTTTCACCATTGAGCTGGCCAGAAACTGTCAAAAATGCTGGTTTGCCAAAAAAATCCTGAGAAATGAATAAAGAAAGTGAAAATGATACCTAGTGAAATGACTTCAAACTCACCCTAGTTTCATATACATTGTGTTGTCACACACGATAAAATAACTTTTCTCGTGACCAAGAACCACAAGGAAATCTTATTTTTGAATCTAATCACAACACTATGTATGACTGCAAAGTGCAAACCAACTAAAAAGGATCGCATTAACCCTGATTGCACCAGCTATATTAAATTAATGAAAATTGCCACAAGGTAACCATTTTAAACAACAAATGCTAAAGCATGGAAAGAAAAAAAAATTACGATGAACTCACTTGAGACCAATCAATTAGTCCGTCCTTTGTTTTTGGAATGCCATCCACATGAGAATCAACTGCTTCCCGAGAGCTTGGAATCTGTGAATTAACAAAACTGTTACTAAACTCAATGAAATCCATAAAGTATCAAGTTAAACAGCAATGTCATAAAATCACTGCAGGATAGTCACTAATAAAAATCTTGCACAAAATGGAGTCACCCTGAATTACATTATCTTTATAAAATCATTTCTGCCTGCAAAATTTGAATACTAATTAGAAAATGAAACTTTGAACACTAAAATTGGTAATAATTTCCTAAGAATGTCATTTCCCATGAAAATGTTGATCTCTGGGAACCAATTGGCCCCATAAAGCATTGTACAAAATCAGGCAAAAGGACAGAAATTGGCCATTAATAATGTAATGCTACATACCAAAGTAGTAACACAGAACTGTTCGCCCGCCCCTTCACAATCTGAAGCTGTGATAATAGGACTTGAGACCCAGACAAACCCATTTTCTTGAAAAAACTTGTGTGTAGCAAAAGCCAAAGCATTCCTTACCCTTGCAACCTAGAACCAATTTGCATTACTAAAAAAGAAAAAACCAAAAGTTAGATCAGAAATGAGCAGCAAAGCCATACCGCACCAAATGTGTTTGTTCTAGGACGAAGATGAGCTTTAGTTCTCAAAAATTCTCTGCTGACTCTTTTCTTTTGAATGGGATAGGATGGATCACTCTTGCCAACCTACAACAAGAAAAGTTATTTTAATGTAAAAACAAGCAACAATAACACATTTAGATGATATGCAGGTTGGCGCCCAAAAGTCGTGCAGCTTTTCTTGACATCATTCAAGTGGATTCTCTCTTCCTTGGTTCTGTGCATATGTTGATGTAAACAAAACCTCATTATGGATCGTGTTCCTTGGCCTAGGTGCTAGTGCAGTGAGCAGCCTTGGTGCACAATTTGGCTATAGGCCCAAAAATGACTGGAGCTTTTGTTGTCATTCCTTTTTCAAGTTTTCAAAAAATATTTAAAAGAGCTCAAAAAATAGCCTTAAATTTCTGCAAACATAACAGAAGGTCATCAAGGAGACCGGAGTATTCCAAAATATTCTTCAAAGATTGAATATGAAAAGCATAAAATCTATTTAAAATTACACACTAAGCAAAATCAATCTTAAATAGGGAGCTTAATCCACTAGGGATGCCTTTCATCATAAAACAAATCATTAATTCACCAAGTGTTGCAATATATGGTTTCACTTTCAAACCAAATGCATCTGAATTTTATCATTCTTTATCGCAGATCATTCATTATTTTAGCAATTTGCATCATCCAACAAACATTACATTTGCTAATGCACAGAATAGTGGTAGATGTAAATTTCATGTTATTTAGCCATTTAGTTAGGAGTTGCTCTGTTGATTGGAAGCTATTGTTTTGAACTTCAACAAAAAGAAATGGTGATAATGTTCTCAACTTTTCAGTTAAAATTCAAAATAACAGCTTCCAGTCAACAGGGAAACTCCAATCTAAGTGGTCAAACAACAGGGAATCTACATCTAGCATTCAGCAAAGCAAAATAGTCTGATTGCATTTAATATCCAAAAGACAGTACTTTCAGTGCATCAATTGAAGCCTTTAGACTAAGAAATGCAGAATATTTTGTGTACCTCTGGCTGAGCAACATTAAGAACTCATAACTCAACAAAAGATATCATTCTCAAGTAAGGTATTACGTGCCAAGGCACATCACTGAGTGAGACAATGTGTTTGATAAGTAGCTGTGTTAGCTGTCCTCACTTTCAACAGAGTTAATGTAATGCATTCATGCAATGCTGGTTGACTAAATATACAACCACACAAATAGAAATCATACATATAAGCATACCTATGAACAAGGGCAGAACTAGACTTGTATTGGGGGAGACAAAAGTGTTAAAAAGAAAAGAGAAAAAAGAAAAAGAAAAATTCAAAGCAAAATTCAAGACCAATATGGATATTTTTGAAAAGATATATAAAATTTAGGGGGGAATTGAATTTTTGAAAAACTTTGGGAGGGAAAACATGGATATTTTTGAAAATATTTATATAATTCAGTGGAGAAAAATTAAATTTTGAAAAACTTGGGGGCGGTAGGTATCCAGTACATAAGGTAGATCTGCCCCTGCCTATGAACTGAAAACTTAATTGAAATGGAAAACATATGATGCAAAGTTAATATGGAAGAGCAAACTCTCCAATCACATCAAACTAAAAAAAAACAAATTTAACAGGAAGCCATACCGCTACAATTTTTGTAACCTTCAGTTCCACCTTTTGCTTTGACCCTTGGCTCTTTGCTACTGTCCCTTGTACCCATATTGATGCACCAGTTGTCACCAAACCAGAGTCTACCTATTAACAAGCTCCATGCTAAATAAAAAGAAAGTGACAATAATATAGACATGAAAATATCAAGGTAGCGACAAATGGAGACAACTGCATATTTTAGAAAAGGAAAGAAAAACATTAGTTCATGATAGCAAACCAGATTATAGAAGGAGAATAACAGAAGTACACCCACCACCAGTACTAGGTTTAATCCTAAATAATTATGCAGTGAAGGAAACACATGCACATGTTCATTAACCAATTTATAAGGAACTAGACTCCTCAAGATACCAGTATTGAGAAAATTCTTAAAGAAAGAATTAGAACTTAGAATCTGAGCAACAACAACTATATCTAGTTCTATAAATGCAAATTCAAAATGAACACCAATCTATTGGTCATTGTGATACCTGGTCATAACCTTCAGCTTCCATATCCATTACACATTGCATGTTTGACAGGCATGAACCATCATTAACCTGAATGCATATATCATAGAATTAACACACAGCTCAAGAAAATATATATTGCCAACCCAAAAATACTTAGAAGAAACACCAACAAAACGTAAATCAAACTCAGTTCAAAATCGTAGATTCTTCCATCTTAATTAGATAAACATTACCTCAATGAACGTAACGCTACTCTGAACCCGGAGTGTCCGGACCCACCCCATCACAACTAGAGTGTGTCCGACCCGATCCAATCCTTCATCGGGCCCACCCTTTATGTCAGCTATCTTCAGCTTTTTCCTAAAGGCCCCGACTCTATCTCCCGTTTCGCCCCTTCGGTCTTCCATGGATTCCTGTTTGGTCCTCTCACCGGACTGCATAGCACCGGAAATGACGGTGCAGAAAGACCTGCGGCGGGGCTCGCCTTGTGGTGGGAGCAGCCGGAAGAATTTTGGCGGGAGAGCATGGGGTTTTAGCAGGGTTTTGGGGATTGTTGTAGGGAGGTTTCTAGGATTTGATTTGGAGTAGGAGGAGAGGAACCGGATGGTTGAGTAGGGACTGAAACGGAGGGAAGTAGCTGGTGCTAAAGCAGCAACAGCCATTTGCTTACTCGTGTTTGTTGGGTTCGGATTATTGGTGGTTTTATACTTTTATATCCACTGAGTGTGGCTTTGGTTACAGGAAGAGAATGGAAGTTGAAAGCTTGATTCTGTGTTTGATGCGCTGTATACTTCGAATTCTTACACTGACCACTTCTTTTTCCATTTTTTTCGTGAATGCCCCTTATTTTTATGTAAATTGTAAATATTGCCCCATCGTTGTGTACAATCGCGGTCCAGTTAATGGATTTGAGCAAATATTCAATTTTACCCCTTCGTACATGTTCGATTTTTCCTTTTTTCTTGTGAAAAAGAGAAGGGCTAACAATAGTAGAGAAGAAGATAATAAGCCCACAGAAAGCCCATCTGAAGAACAAAAAAAAATTCCAAAAACCGTAATTGGGTTCGGCTTGGGCATGCTTGGACATTGCTTAATTTGATTGCGAGCCTTTCGAGTAAAAAGATTTTGCTACTCCACCACTTGGTAGCAACCCCTTTACCAGCACTAACCACCAGCGTCAGTGCCAAATATCCCGTCGTTCCATCTATTCAAGTTCGACCCAAAACAAGAAAACGTTCAGTTTCCTTCTCCTTCCCCTTCCCCTTCCCTTCTCTTTTTCCCCATAACCAACCCAATCGCCAATCGCCAAAAGATCATACACCAAAAATGGACGTATCATCTATTCCTGAACCTGACCAGCAACAACACCTCAGCACGACGACCACCATCGACCAGCTAAACCCGCAGTTACAAGAGCAAACGCAAGCCCTCCAATACCCACAATACCAAGTTCAAGATTATTACTATCAAACCCAGTTTCAATCTTATGACCAGTCTTATTATTCGTATTATCAGCAATACCCAGATCAAAATCAATGGCAATACGGCCAACAAATACAACACTACGCTTATTACCAGCCCGATTACTCAGTTGCTTATCAGCAACCCCCGTATTATCATCATGAGTCTGCTCCAGGGGTTTCTGCTCCACAAGAAGTGCCACAAATTGCCGATTCTGGTGGAACTGGGGCATCGTTGCAGGCGGCACAGCAGCAACACCCGCAGAGCGCCTATCCTCCGCCTCAGACTTCGGTAAATGTAGTTGTGCCGCCGCCTCCTCCGGGGATGAATCCAGCTGCCGCTGCGGCTATCGCGGCTCTAGAGCAGCTGACGCAATTTGCGGGGACTATGGACGCTGCGGAGAGGGCAATGGCTGGGTTACCGGCGAAGAGTCCGGGATTTATGCGTGTTCCAATGCGTCATCCGGTAAGGTGTTTGTGATTTTGTTAAATTTAAATTGTAAGTTTAGGGGGCGTTCTCACTGATGTCTTATGTTCTTAGGGCAATTGACCATTTTCTCCTATTTGATTTACTGTTGCATTTGATGGTTTCTAAAATTTGGACTTGTGTACTTCGTATTTTAAAATTGTGACTTTTTTCATTTTCTGCTCTTCAGTGTACAAAGGAATATTCTCATGGGGCCAAAAGTTTCGTTAAATTAGTTGGAAATGTGATATAAGACAATTTGAGAGGGGAACTCACTCAATCCTTCTTGAGTATTGATGCAATTCTCAATAATTTGCTTTTGAAATTAATCAGATATGACAGTCATTGATTCTTAATAATTCGCTTGTGAAATTAATGAGATATGATAGTGGTTGACTACTGAATCACTTGTAATATGTTGATGTTGCTATGCACCTCATCTTCTCTACGGTTGCGCGTGTTCAGGCGGGTGTGGAACATGCGTGCAGACACACATATCGGCATATGTATACATGCATACAAAATATATCATTCTGGTGACCCTTCATTTGAAAGGTTACTTTTTAATGTGCTTGCTTCACATATTGGTAGGTTGAGGTTGAGGAAAGTTTAATAACTGATCTTGTAGCCTAAAACTGGCCAGAACTGAATTTTAGATCTTTTGGCATCCCAGTTTGTGCTTTTACTTTGCAATATATCATGTTCATTGTTGAAGTTAGCTATAGTTTTTGTTATTCTGTAGCTGCTCTAGATTGCTGAGAATAAAACGTTCCATAGCATATTCTATGTGCATTTGAACATCGCAGGTATATTTTGGTCTGTTGCTGCTGAACATTTTATGGATGACAATCATTATATGGTGTAGTCCATTTTTGAAACATTTTTACTTACTCTAAAGAATGCTAGTCTTTAGACTTCAATGATGGTTTACATCATACCATTACTGACATATGAAAAACCAAATTTTGGTCATTTTGGACCATCAAGTGAACAAAGTCATGCTTTAACTAAGCCAGTCAGCTATTTTCTGTCAGACATAATTCTGCCCTCAGAGCTCCTATCTAAGTCAAATTTGGACATTTAGCTTCACACTTTACAAAATGTATAAAAGAACAGCCAGTGCATTGAGATGCTTCTGTTTGGGATGCCATGGTTGTTTGCAGGATCAAGCTACTCCACTGTGCATAGGGGAAAAAATGTACCAGGTTCAAGTAAAATAGAAATATGTTAAAAGCATCATTACAACATTGAATACAGTTATTATATCCTGGTGGAGTTATGAGTAGCTTCAAAAAGCATTGCTTCTCAAACCCATTTTTTTATATCCTGCTATTTGCCAACTTCTTCTCATTTGGTGCTCATTGCTATTGGATACAACTGGGACCTGTAAAATCTGTGTCCATGTAAATGGGAATGGACAATTTCCTCTCTTTCTTCCTTTAAATATTTGTAGGAAAACTGAGTTGCCTATGCTGGCCTGCCTATAACTGTACCAAATTAGCATATGAAAGTACAATGATCACTTACCCAGTAGATAACAAGTTGCTTCCAAAATTGAAAATTCTCATTGGTAGGCCCTTTTTTTTTTTTTTTTTTTTTTTTTTAAATTAGTCATATGAAGTACATATGATCATTACCCAGGTAGATAACAAGTTGCTTCCAAAATTGAAAATTCAGTCATTGGTAGGCGCCCTTTTTTTTTTTTTTTTTTTTTTTTTTTTTGTATTTGCCTCTATCCTTCCTATCTGAGGTTGGCGAAAGTTGTTTTGATCGAACATGCAACTACACATCCGTAACTAGGAATTATGAGATTCAGTTTTTTTTTTTTTTTAAATATCAGGTAATTTTTTCCTGGTTGTTCCTGGATGAAGGGAGCTTAACCCTTAGAAGATTTATATTTTTTGGACCTGAAATTCAAAATTAATTTTCTCAACTGCTCTAAGTTTATACTCCCCATTGGATCGGAAATGTCCCTTTGAGCACACTCAACCAGCTCTTAGCCCATTGAATAGAAATTTTTTTGAAAACTAAATGTCTGTTTTATCCATATGAGGTTTTCTACTGGCACGGATATCAAGAATAGAGGGCATGAAACATATATGGACACTGTTTGCTTGACTTTTAATTATGGAAATGGATTAGAATATGAAAAAACATTGAAAGATAATAGTTCAATTCTTGAATCAGAATAGTAAGAGTGAAAATGGTTTTTTTTTTTTTTTTTTTTTTGTATTTGCTCTATCCCTTCTATCTGAGGTTGGCGGAAGTTGTTTTGATCGACCATGCAACACACATCCGACTAGGACTTAGAGATTCAGTTTTTTTTTTTTAAATTCAGGTATTTTTTCCTGGTTTCTGGATGAAGGACTTAACCTTAGAAATTTATATTTTTGGACCTGAAAATTCAAAATTAATTTTCTCACTGCTCAGTTTATCTCCCCATTGATCGAAATGCCCTTTGAGCACACTCAACCAGCTCTTATGCCATTGAATAAAATTTTTTTGAAACTAAATGTCTGTTTATCATATGAGGTTTCTACTGCAGGATATCAGATAAGAGGGCATGAACATATATGGACATTTTGCTGACTTTTAATTATGATGGATAGAATATGAAAAACATGAAAATAATAGTTCAATTCTTGAATCACTATAAGAGTGAAAATGGATATCAGGTAGTTCTTGCTAGCTTTAAGTTTCATACCCTCCCTGAATGCACAGTTCATATATTGTGGGCTAGCAGCTTGATCACTTTGCTAATCTTGTTTTCTTCTCTTTATCAGACTCCTTTTACAAGGATTGTTAGAACAAGTTCTTGGTTTAGAAAATCTAGGACGTTCCTCACATTGGACCCAATTGAAGATAGTTTGCTCTTCTGAGAAACTGATTGACATGTTTGGGTTTCTCAAAATCTCCTGATTTAAATTGGCCTGGTAATCAGATTTCATGTAGTCTGAATCAACTAGCTTATGAAACATGATTATTTTCAGTGCTGTATTCTTCAACCATAACTTGTTCTACATATCTGAAAAGAGTGAGAATGACTGGTTTTGAAATGGCACCAAATTGTAGGTTTGGTCCGCTGAATCTGCAAATCTAGTTAGTGCTTGCTGAGATTGACAAGGATCACCTTGTCTTTTTGCATTTGAAAGTTTTATGGTTTCTAGTTAATATGGAATGGGCCTCGTATAGAATTTGCATAACTTATGGCTGTGAGGTTTAGAATAGAAAGAGGATTGAGTCTAGCGAGCTTCAACTCATTGAATTTGCAAACAATTAACCTTAGGATTAACTTGATCAAATGATTCCATCCTAGTGCAGCAATCACAATCCTAGGCTAAATTTGGTGGGCCATGGCTACCTTAGCCTAGTCACAATTGTATTCTAATATCCTTGACTTATTCTTACCTTTAAACTCTATTGATGTTGGTACACTATGACTTCCATTAGGCCAAGGGAGTTGCTGAAATTTGTCATTTGCCAACTAGGAGATGTTGAATGAGGAGGCATTTTCATTGGTCTTGGATTGCTTGCCAGAAAGAATAGGTATGGATCTTTTAATTCACTTGCCTTGCTCATGGTAAGTATCCTGGTGGCTGAAAACAAGGATAGCTTGGATGATGTCAGAAATTTACTTTTGGCAGGTTCTGTATTAAATCTGGTTTAAAAAAAAACTCGGAACATGTCAGAAGCTTACTATCTTAACCTATGTTGCTCAGACTTTGTACAAGTGTCGAATGCATAACCATGATCGACACATGTATATTTAATTTTCTGGTATGTTCTTCCTTATATATGGAGAATCATACCCAAGTACCCATGCCGATTCTAGTGTAAACAGGGTCCCTAGGGTAATAGTAAAAAGTCAGAGCAACAGAGGTTCTGACGGATTCAGTTAGGGTGCCGCTGCTGGATATATAGAAGTTTAATCTAAGGTTACATTTGGATAGTTAGTCATTTGAATGATTGAGCTTTTGAATATGGAACCATGATAATTTTTATGATTTTATAGTTGAAACTCAAATCCAAATCCAGAATAATTTCAAATGACTATCTATCCAAATGGATCCTTGATTTTATTTGTTTCTGTTTATTGACATTTGAAAAAGGAGTATCTTCGTTTAATAACATGCTTGAGATCAATTCTAGTGTTTTAGCAAAATATTTCCAAATTCTAAATACTTGTTTTTGCGTTTAAGATAAAAATTTTGATTATGGTAAGGAATTTTTCTTTGGCCTAAGTTTATTCACTAACTTGCAATTTAAAATGCTGGTGGACTGGAGATTTGTCACAGAGTAGAGTTTAATATTAAGATATTTTGATTTGCCTCTTTTGCTTGGCTTGTAGAAGCACATATTGCTATGCTTTTTTTTTACATTATTGAGAACCTTTTAAGTATATTTTGCAGGATGGTCGATATCCACGTAGGGATGGTGGACCATCCCGAGGAGGTGGCCATGGTAATGTAGGACACCACCATGGTTCTGCTTCTTCTTTTCGTGGAAGAGGACATGGGCGGGGTAAGGCTCGTTCTAGGCACTTCCAACAGCAAGGTGCAACATCTTCCTATCCAGAACATTCTGATGCAGTTCAAAAGGCAAATCAATCTGCTTCAGCACCAGAAAATGTAGGTTCTAACTGTCGAACTGTTCAGATTGCTTGGTGTGAACTTTGTAGGGTAGACTGCACTAGTTTGGAAATTCTTGAGCAGCACAAAAATGGAAAGCGGCATAAAAAGAACTTGCTCAGGATCGATGAGTTGAAAACTACTACTAAACTAGGGGAAGAGAGAAGAAATGATCAGGAACCTGTAAATGATTTCAAGCCAGAAGAAGCTCAGCAGCCTCAGATTGCACAGGATGGTGAAGAGCAGAAGTCAGCAGAAAACTTACCTGCTGAAGCTGCCAGTGATGAAAATGGAATGGAGAACGATCTGCAGAATAATACAGAGGAAAAACTTGAAGTTCCAGCAGAGCAGTTGTCTGATCAGCAAGGAAGGAAGCAGAAGAAGAAATTGTTTGATAGTAGGACACGTGGAATGAAACGCAAAATGAAGGGTGGTCGGGGAGTCAAGCATATGAAGATTTCTGAAACTCATAGACGACCAGTCGAACCTCCCAAACCTAAAGTTGTAGCTCCCCTAATATGTGATCTATGCAACGTCAAGTGTGATACAGGGGAGGTTCTTAATCGCCATTTTTCTGGTAAAAAGCACATTGCTAAGCTTAAACGATTTGAAGGTCATCAGGCTTTGTATGGGCCAACAGGGCTTCAGGTGCTTTACCCTCCCAATCCAATTGCACAAACTTATTCCTTCCCCCAAGTCCGTCAACCTTTCTATGGTCATCAAGGCTCATTTCCCCCACATGGTGTTTACTATTCTTCTCAAGCTCACCAATCAGCATCAGTAGCAGCAGGTTTGGACCATCAATTCTCACAAAGTTCCATGTCTCAACAATCAGAAGCTGCTTTAACTTTTGAGACAAATCCTGCAACTGCAGTCTAAGAATCTTAACGTGAGTTATCAGATCCTCCTCTCATTAGCATCACAGCCCGCACTTCAGATTTCCTGCTGTGTCCGCAGAATCTGGGGTCTCTTCTAGTGAAGTAATGAATTTAATATGGGCTTAGTTAAACAATGAATTTTACTTTTCAGTAGTTCTGACTCTTAAGGTGAGTTTAGTTATTGAATTGGCTTTTGGAGGGAATCATTTGTTAAATATACTGATATTCTCAACTGCTAATCAATGTTCAAATGATCACTATTGGTAGTCTTTAGCGTCGTAGCCATAATCTGTATTATGGCTTCTGTTGGTGTTATACAAATAAAAGTATTTCTAGTTACTGCTGGAATGGCTAATTCTGTTTTAATTCACATGGATTGGGTTACCAGCATGTCTATCAGATGGCGACAGGCTGTTTTCTGAACAGCAGATGATACCTCTTTTCTATTTGTGTTTCAAGTTGCATTTTCTGTCTGGAAATTTGTAAATCAGAAAATTGGGAATGCATATGATGAAGTCTGCTATTGATATTTTTGTTATTATGTTGCCACTTGCCTGGCCAAGTCTTCAACACGATTGAGGAGGAAAAAGATCTTCATGGTTAAAGAAAAATCTAGTTTATCTTACAAACTCCTTGAAAAAAACTCGACTGAACCATATGCTTATATACTCCTTGGTCTATTGATCATCATACTTGCATTGTTATTCTTTTCAGTTATAATGGAGTTTTTATTTTACCTTTAATGATTTCTATGATGAGCGGCTAAGTAAAGCAGCACGGAGTTGTTATTATAATTATTTTTGGATATTAATTTTTTCCATAATTTTTAAAAATTATTTTTTTCATTTAACGAGAGATTTTATTTCCATTGTCTCTCCTCTACGAGGGGCCAAAAATTTGGCAAGAGATTTTGGTGCTATAGCGGGAAGAAAATCAATGGCATTTAATAAGAATATACTTTAAAATAATACTAATTTTAATTTAATATAAGCTAATAAAGTTCGATTTAATTTATCTGAAAAAAATTGATTATTTCCCTAGAAAAGCTCAATTTAATTATTAATTAAATTTTATTGTTATGTTAAATCAGAAGCGAGTCATAAAATATACTTCAAATAAACACATGTGAAAATAATATATTTAATTTTGACCCTAATAATTAATTTACACCGGAGCGGTATGGCCACCACCAAAAAGAAAAAATTGGGACAATTAAAGATAATAGCAAAAATATCAGAAAAATATTCCCCGCAAAGGGACGGTTTCGGTCCCAAAAGAGTCAAGCCCTCTTCACCGAGTCAGAATTCAGAATCTTTGGATATTTTTTGTGGGTGGCACCGCCAACAGGAGTCGTCAAAATTTCATCATCTAAACCCTCAATCCAAGCGAAAGACGCACATAATTTTTTCATACATTTTCTTCAATTTGAGAAAGTGATAGAGAGATTGTTCCAGTCATGGCTGACCATAGTCACAACGATGATTTAGACGAACTCCTTGACAGTAAACCCAATTCCCCCTAAAACCCACTTTTTGTTTCCTCTTTACGAGTATGAATTTTTTCGCTTTTCAATATTTACAGGTGCTCTTGACGATTTCCAGGGTCTCAACCTCGCTCCTTCCTCTCAAAGGTCTCTCCTTTTCTTTTATCTATTGAATTTTTTGTAAATTATAGCCCATTTTTCTATTGTGTTTTTGTAATTAGATTGAATTGTCCGCTTTTTGACTTAAAAAGTGGCGAGGGGTTAAAATAGTGTTCTGGACTTTCTCTAACCACACTCATTTATAAGCTTTGATTTTCTGTGCATTTTCTAAAATTTAAATCCTGTAGCTGTTGTTTGTCTGTCCCTTTTTTTGGGGGGATGTTAATTTGATTTTAGGAGTGGAGGAGGAGATGGTAATAAAGAGAACAAGCAGCAAGAATCATCAGCTTCACTGCCAATGGGGGTTCAGGGGTTGGGTATGGGGTTACCTGACTTGAAAAATAAGAAAAAGGGAAAGCAAAAGGTTTCAAAGGAGTCCCATGTCGCAGAGGCGCTTGATCAACTTAGGGAGCAGACTAGGGAAGCTGTCAAGGGCTTGGAGTCTGTCACAAGTCCAAAACCAGATGATTTTGGTAAGGATGCATTTCTGGAGGATTGGGTTAAGCAATTTGAGGAGCTTGCTGGCTCTCAGGTAAACTTGTTGATCTTTCCTTTCTTGGTTTAATCTAGTGGTTTTGAGTGATTTCGAATAGGTTCAAGTGGTTTTCTATTAGCAGTAACATTTAGGACGTTGCTTTTGCTGGGGTTGTGCTTGGTTTCTGTTGTATTGATTTATAACTCTGAGGGTGTAGAAATTAAAGTTGAGGCAGGCCACAGGCATTTTGATAATATCAAATTCTTTAAAAGTAATGTTTGGATCGAGAATTTCTGGTTTTGGAATTTGTGCTATGGTTGAATAATGTTTGTGCTTATTTTGGTACATTATCCTATGGATTTTGGTTCATAAGGTTTAGGATCATGGGAGCAGGTGTTCAATGATTGCTCTAATTTATCGTCTTTTTTCTACTTTTATCAAGACCATATTTTCTCTTCAAATTTTTGACTGGCTTATTAAATCAAGATATTTAAGGGAAAAAAATGTGCCTTTGATGTGCAAGGCTTAGATAATCTTCAATTGGTGATGGTTCTTTCAAGATTTGAAATTGATTAAGGTATACAAAAGTAAGTAGAAGAGATATTTTCATGGTAATGTTAAGCTGCTATCAATATAAGATTGTAAGATTTTCCTGTCAGCAATGACTAGTGAAATATACAATTCCATTAGTAGATATTATGGAATTAAGAAATAATTTGCATCCTGTCCTCCTGCTTATTGGTAAGAAAATATATAGGACATGTGCAATTAAACACTGATCAAACTGATTAAGACAAATTGAATCAACTCTATCCAAACCCAGAATGATTTTATTATTCCTTGGCTGCTTCTGGTTACTAAATATAGCCAAACTAAAAGGCGCTCTTTGATTATGGCTTAAGAATATGAAAATTTATGAAAACCTTATTGAACTTAATATTATATGACATTACATTATTTGCGATAATAGATGAGTTATTCTACAGGTTTATGTTGTCATGGAGTTTGAATATTGAAGTCATCATGATGTGCTAGTTTCAAGTTATTTAAATTCCTTTAAGTTCTCTCAGAGCTCCTTTGTTTCATTAGTTGCATCAATAGAAAGAAGTTCTTGATTTGGATTGTTTCAAGTATAACTTGATTCCTTCAGTTAGAGCTTTTGCTTCAAATTGACCAAACTGATGACTAAAAACCCTTACATGCTGTTGCACTTCTTTTGATTTTTATTCATTGTTAAGTTTCTCAAATCTTTTATTAGTTTTTTACTTGTTAAATGTTAGCATTCATTTGTTCATATTATGATTGAAATATCTTAATATCAGTATGTTATTTTTGAATAGGACATGGAATCTATCGTGGAGACGATGATGCAACAACTTTTGTCTAAGGAGATTCTTCAGGAACCTATGAAGGAAATTGGAGCAAGATATCCAAAGTGGTTGGAAGAACACAAAACCAGTTTAACCAAAGATGAATACGAGCGTTATTCTCACCAATATGAACTCATCAACAAACTTAACAAAGTTTATGAGAATGAACCTAATAATTTCACAAAGATTGTTGATCTCATGCAGAAAATGCAAGAATGTGGCCAACCTCCAAATGATATTGTGCAAGAGCTTGCTCCTGATATTGACTTTGCTAATCTTGGCCAAATGTAAGTGCTTTAACTTATGCGTTATGCCACTTTTAGCATTCATAATGTCTGTATTTGCACATGAATACACGTCAGTCTCATTTGTCCTATACCATGTAAATTTAGTTCTCTAGCGTTAAATATTCATCAAAACAAGCCGTCAGAATGCGGTTACAGTCAACAAAGCAACAGTTTGGGGGATTTGTCATATGCCATTAAATTTTCAAGTTCTAGTCTATTTTACAAGATAGAGAGAGAAAGAGGAAGAGTTCTTTATTTCACTCTAGAAATGATCTCAGATGGGAATTTTTAATGGACATTTATTGTCAAGTGGCTGCAAGGAGAAGTCAAGCCATTTAATTGATTTGGCTGAGTTTTTCATCGCGTCCATTTCAAACATTGATAACTCTACAATAATGTATGGTGCTGTAGTGTTAAGAAACCTTTCCATGCAAGATTTACACTGAAATAACAATCATTGAACGATGTCTATAGATGGTTTGCATCAGATGGCTGATTGATATCTTTTTTTTTGCAGATCTCCAGAGATGCTCGAGTCCCAGCCAAATTGCTGCATAATGTGAGGCAAGACGTGCCCTCATTTCTTGCAACCAATTTGCTTTTTCCCTTTGTCCTATACCTATAGGTATTTATTTGAAATGTATTTGTCAAAGATATAGTATGGTGGTTTTATTTTCCCACACCCTAATAATAGAAAGGAACTCAATTTTAGTCCTTATGTTTATTTGAAACTTGTATATGATTCAAGTTTAAGTATTTTTGTTTCAAATTTTAAGTAGTGCATTCTAAATTATGGGAATTGCTTGTCCCCAATGAACTCCATATGGTGGAAAAAGGATCTATTGCCTTTATAGATTACCAAAATGGTAGGTAGAGCCTTGCTTGATTTATATAAATTTGACCAAATTCTCAGAATTTATTAGAAATTTTATTTCTGTCTTCATGTTGGGTAAGCCGAAAAAAAAAAAAAAAAAAAATAGGTATTTAATTTGAAATGTATACTTGTCAAAGATAAGGGTAGGGTGGTTTTATTTTCCCCACCCTAATAAATAGAAAGGAACTACAATTTTAGTCCTTAGTGTTTTATTTTGAAAACTTTGTAATATGAATTCAAGTTTAAGTATTTTTGTTTCAAATTTTAAGTAGTGCAGGTTCTAATTATGGGAATTGCTTGTCCCCAATGGGACTCCATATGGTGTGGAAAAAGGATTTTCTATTGCCTTAATGAGATTACCAAATTGGTAGGCTTGAAGCCTTGCTTGATTTTATATAAATTTGTAACCAAATATTCTGCAGAATTTATTAGAAATTTTATTTCTGTTCTTCATGTTGGGTAAGCCGAACAAAAAAAAAAAAAAAAAACATCCATGTCTATAGATTCAATGCTAAAAAAAAAAAAAAAAAAAAAAACATCCATTCTATAAATTCAATGCAAGAAAGTGAGATCGGTGAATTTCATTTTTTGAATTTATTTATACGAAACAGGATACAAATATAACTTCAACAAGCTAGGTAATTTTACAAGGGTGAAAGAAAATTATTGAAACAAGAAGCTTTATTGCAATTGAATCAATGAATGAAATCTGTAAAAAGAATATATTTATTATACATATATATGAATGAATGCTCAAAAAGAAAATTGCTAAAATCGTGTGGCTAAGCATCAGAGGGTGCGATCCAGTGCCTCCCATTTACAAAGCTCTTTGCTAGGAACTTGTGGGCTGATTCAAAATCCAACTCTCTTGCCCATGAAACACCTCTCACTTTTGCGGCTCCTGGCCCGTAGCATCTGTACACTCCAAAAAACGCGGTCCTGAAGTTTAAGACAAAAAACAAAAAGTAACCGTCAATGTTAAATCACCAAAAATTACCTAACTATTAAATATTAAAGCGTTGCTTTCACTCCTTCAAATAATAAAATTAATATTTTGACTATAAAACTAATTTAGAATTGTTGCCGAACGAAATTTTAGATAGCCGTATATATAATATAGAGCAGTAATTATTTACTTGTTTTTGTTGCTGACGTGGTCCCAATCATCCCAGCCACCGTGTGCAACCAGGTCATCAAAGTAAGTGTAAGAATATACTATCCTTGAGTACTGGCCCATAGCCCGGCCCACATACAATGGGCCAGTTCCCGTTACTCTACAGCCAAGAAAAGCAAAGCCTGTTTTCTCATCTGGAGAGTTTCTATCTTGGGCCGCAATGGATCCAAATCTAGTAGCTATTGAATGTAGCTCGCAGTTCTGCGTCAATCAATCAATAATCAAAACTTAGGCTAATGGGATTTAAAACAAAGTGTCGCTGTTGGTATAATCGTTATTGTTTAACTCCAATAAATTATAATTTAAACAAAAAAAAAAAAAAAAAAAAAAAAAATTATAATTTACCAAAAAAAAAAAAAAAAAAAAAAGAACATGTGAGGTAAAAAATAAAAAAAAAACATCAATGTCACGGTTGTCTAAGAAGTTGCACATCAACCTTTCTCAACTTTGAAAAGAACATGTGAGGTAAAAAAAAAAAAAAATCAATGTACGGTTGTCTAAGAAGTGAACATGCAAACTTTCTCAACTTTGACCTCCTAATACAATAAAATCACACTTTATAGAACATAATCATCAGCAATTAATGATTGCTCTATAAAGGGTATCTATGACTTTATGAAAAATGGTAAAACGGTTAAAGTTCATACTGTATGTAATGTAATGTCTGATAGGCTTGGTATATTAATAAAGAATTAACTAATCATATGGATTAGTGATTAATGGCAGCAAAGTCAGTTGACAGTTGGCTAGCAGATGGTTGGCACTGCCTTTGATGTTCTTCCCTTATATATTTCCGTTTGCTTTTAGACTTTTAGTAAGTTGGGCACCACCATCACTGTTCACTGACACCTAAAATTGGTATGGATCAGAGATTAAAAAAAAAAAAGTAAAAGTTTCCTTGCTTTTTTCACTTTACAGACAACAGGCAGGCAGACAGACCCGAAAGATTAAAAAAAAAAAAAAAGAAAAAAGACCAGTACATAGACATCGTTTTCCCTCATTTATGTCATAGATTCTGTCCTTTCCATTTCAAAATGTGTCCCCATAAAGTCACGAGAATTCTTTACTCTTATCGACCCATCTGTATTAATGTATTTTAATTAATATTTATCTCAATATTATGCTCTATATATATAAATAGTTTAGTTAATGATGGTTTATTCTTTAAAAACATGTTTATGGATCGAACTCAGACCTTAATTTATGCAGAAAATTATGAGTCAGACCTTTGAAAAATTCGATATTTTTCAAGTTCAAGCTTTAACTCTTGAATGGGTTTAATTCAAAGAATGTAATTGGATAAAAGAGAGAATGAAAGTTGATTACTTTGTACATGGAGCGGCCATTTCCAAAAATGAAGTCAATAGAGCCTTCAATATAGCATTCCTTGAAGTAATGTCTGCCAGCATCATCACAGAGAGTGTCTTGTGCACCGTAGAATCCACAGCCTGAGAAGTAGGCCTTATCACCGGATATTCTAAAGGCCGCCGCTTGCCACCCTTGCATTCCGGGCATTGGTGCCGGTGCTGTATTCTACATGCATAAATAATTAACTTAATATAAAATTAATTAACGTGTTTAACTTCATTAATTTTGTCATTTTGATATGTACATGCATATATATATATATATATATATATACCTTGAAGCTGATGTTTCTAGCAGAGAAATAACTGGCAAAAACAGTAACAGAAGCTGTTCTGTAAGTACGTAGCTGCTGTCCATTGGGACCAGGATCGCTTGCTCTATCATGCCATTCGATGAAGGTCACGTCTCTTCCTTCTCCTTGAAACGTTATGTATGGTTTTGTCACCGGCACCACCACCTTCTCTCTGCACCCACCACCACCATCAATATTTTTTGAAAAATATTTTGATAAACAAAAACTATTTACTGTTGTCCCGTGACACTAAATCCACGGTTTTGCTTACTTTAGAAAGTTCCTTCGACAAGCTGGTTCTAACTTGTATTAACCAGTAAGAGTATGCATATATATAACAGATTAGAGAAAAGTATTACATGTAATAGCCAGCGCTAATTAATAACATCACATTTTCTGTATTATTCTCCGGAACAGAATCAACGGCAGCTTGGACAGACCGAAACTCGCCGTACCCATTAACATCGACGGTGATGACACGGTGGCCGACGGGTCCAACCCATTTTTGGTGGTGCTTGGTGGAGTTGTTTGAGCCAGTAGCATTAACAGAGTTGAGCCTGTACCTGAAAATAGAACGACTTGTAACTAAACATGGTGCATACTGCAATAAAAACAAAGCCAAAATAAAACAGAAACAATTAAAAGAAGCCATTAAAATAGCAATAAATGGTCAGAGAATATAATGGTATAGAGAAAAAGAGAGAAGGAAGGAAGGAGATTCGCAGAATGTCATAGACTGAATTTCTTCTTGTTTGATTTATTGTCCTTCAAGAGCTTTTATAAATAATATACAGAAATGCAAGCCAAGTACATGAAAGAGAAAGTTAGGCACATTTGTAATATTAATGCTCTAAGGGTAAAGTTACTTTATAATTATTTTATTTTTATTTTTGATTTTCATAGTTTTATTTTTTAAGAGCTAAGGTCTTCTTGTAACGGTCATTTTTATTTTGTTTTAGGGGACATGTAGGTTATTACGGCTCTATAGCTTTATGGTAGTGTTATTTGGCTGGATTTTGTACATATAATTAATGGAGTCCCTCTGCAAGTGGGGGCAGTATTTCTTTGGTTTTCCGTTACTTTTGTTAGATGCGCACCTGGGTAATGGTATGTCTCTTAGCTCTATTCTTTTGTCGTTTTTAGATATACTGTTATTTTCCACGTCGTTTAGCCATTATTAATTAGTGCATGCACTCGACTGAGATACTTCTTTATATTCTAAACGTCTATACATGATAGTATTTGAAATATATATGTTGCTAGTCTACAATTAATCTGAGTAGAGTTGAAAATTGACCTATTTTTGTAATTGCAGAATAATTGGTCATTTAAAAAAAAAAAATACTCATTATATGGTTAATTGTTGAATGTAATACAAAATAATCACCGGACAAGCCTGATTATTAATACAAAATGATTACCTGAGTATTAATATAAAATAATAATCTTATTACAGTAAATCAAAGAGAATGTTTTCTTTGTTGGGATTAGGTCTAATGAGATTCTGATAAGCCTTAATTGGAAGAATTTTATTAATATTTATACTATTAATCACCTGGATTAGAAGCTAGCCGGAAATAAAGACCCACTGTAATAATCAGATGAAGAAGATGATGATTTTCAAAAAAAAAAAAAAAAAAAAAAACGGAAATAAAGACCCACTGTAATAATCAGATGCAGAAAGATGATGATTTTCAAAAAAAAAAAAAAATAAAAAAAAAAAAAAAAAAAAAAAAAAAAGATGAAGAACATGATGATGAAACAGGAAATATCTAACAAAGTAACAGTTTCTGCCAAACCCATAACATTGTGACTTGAACTATTGAAGGCTTTATTTGCTTAATTAATAACAATCTGCTACATATTTTAAACCTTAAATATTGAAAAAATGAGTTTGTTTCACATTTTTGTTTATCAATATTTAAATTTTGGGACAAACATTCAAAATATAATTCTTGAAGAATGTATGAATCGAACATAGAATTATAGTAACTTTAAACTTATTTTAAAAAATATTTATAATTTAATAGTGCATAGCTTAAACTGTTAATAGAAATGTTAGATATTTGTGTCAAAAATCTCCATAATTCAGATTCTTGGGTTACTTCAGTGCTGTAGGGTACGGTATTCAAACATTGGCTCCAAGCATTTTCTTTAAAATGGTATTTATTTATATATATTTTCAGCTTAATTTCTAAGAAATACATACTTTAATTTTGGAAAACAAACATTAAAAACCAGAAAAAGAAATAAGAGACAACACAAAACCCTCTTAATTATCCATTTCCTTTTAATCTAAATCTCTAAAACGGTCACCTGTGGCCAAGATGTGGTGGGTGGGTGGGTGGCGGGTGGCTGAGGCGTGCATGACCAACATTATGGTTCAGGCATGGTTATATACTTATTTTGTATTGTAGCTTTTTCTCTGCCTAGCTCTTATTACCTGTAGTGTATATATTTGATACATTTATTATTAATTTTCTTGTGGTCGTAATCATGTGGGTCCTATTTGTTTTGAAAATTCAGTTTTTCGAACGTTGGGACTAGACAAATTTTTACACACTTTTTTTTCATAAAAAAATTAATTTTCTCGAGTAGGGCATGGGACAAACTTACCCAAACTCGTACGTGGATTGCCTTTTCTGACAAAAATGCCCCTAAAAATCAAAGTCTGTCATGATGATTGTATTGATTATAGATTTGGACCCACAAAAGACCAAAAAGATATTTTTCATTTCCCTTTTATTTATCTTTATTATTATCCTCTTTTTTCCTTTATCAATCAAAAAAAAAAAAAAAAAAGAAAAGCGGAGTAAATTTTTGGGTCGGGAACAGAAAAAAAAAAAAAAAAAGAAAAGCGGAGTAAATTTTGGGTCGGGAACTCAGAATGGGACCATGATTGCAAAGATTGGGGAAGTGGTATGTTTGTTAAATATTATTAGGACATCCATAGTACGATCAAGTTTATGGATGCGACAACATTGGGCTTCTCTCACACGAATCATTGCTCTCTAGGCCGAAGTACCCAAAGCTCATTGTACATATCTAACATATTATAAAATCGATATAATCATTGTTTATTACAATTCAATAACTAAGCCTTAATCCTCTATAATCGGGGATTACTCCATTTGTATGAAATTTTATTCTCATTCTACTCTATTAATAATTAAATGCACAGCTCTTTTTCTCTCTAGTTTATGTAATCATAGCTTTTATTTGAGACTGTCGTTGTTAATCAGCGATAGCCTTCTATTTTTTTTCTTTTCCTTCCTAATCTTTTATTTGTTTTTAATAAATTCAGATATATTTTCTTTTAATAGATATGTTTTTTCTTTGTTTTTTTTTTTGTTATTATTGCTTTGTCTCCATATTTGAAGAGTTGTTCTTAAAGGGTATGATATTTGATTTTATTTTGTTGGAGAATTTATGTTTTGTTTTACTGACGTGTATTTCCGATCAATGGAACCTGGTAGTGTGACATGTTCTTCCATTGATGCTATTAATGCATAGTGGCTTGAACTCATCCGTGTACGTCATACACAATAAATTTTTGGAAAAGCAATCCAAGCATAGAAGATCTGGAGAAGTTATTTTGTTGTTCAAATCAATTAAAGGACAAGTTGCTACTATGAAGATTTATATCGATCAAAGTTATCTTCAAGCGGAAAAATTCAATATTATTTTTTTTTAATTTTAATTTTATTATTCAAAAGAATATAAATAATTCTTTTGTTGTTGAATGATCAACAAACTTTCTATTAATTATGATAATAAATCATAAGTTCTATGTATGGTCTAATTGAATATTTATAATACTTGATTTTATTACTAACGAATTATATTTTTCAAAAAAAAAAAAAATTAATGCACATTAAGATCAATTTTTCAGACAATTTTAAATCTACCTCTTTTTCTTATAATGTGCTTACGAACTTGGGCATATAACAATTCACGGAGGATGTTAACCAAATCATTTCAGACGTTTGTCTCTCATTTTTTCTCAAATTTATGCTTATCCAATTACGTTTATGCATAATCAACTTAATTATTTCCATCAGCTTGAGGTGATGTTTCAACGCTCTTGCATCTTGCGTGAATCTCCAACTTCTTTATTTAAAATGGATTATATTTGGATAAATCGGATTCATGGTCTAACCACAAAATAAACTAATAAAAATATAAATTTTAAAATAATTATTTCTATTTTATTTTATTTCCCAATATAAGCAAATATAGCTGAAAATTTATATTTTCATTAATTTGATCTATGGAATAAGCAAGTCAATATCATTTTTACTTCTCACAATGTAAATCCAAGGATAAAACTTACACTCAACCTATGGGCCCATATCTATACATCAAACAAGTCATAATATATAATTTTTAAAAAATTGTTCCCACTTAAACTTTCTTATTTTTCAATAAATGATAAAAAATATCCTTATTTAAAAAAAATATATTTTTTATTAGTTCGATCCACATGCACGTAATCGGCACATGGACCAGCTCTAAATAAATCATTCTCGTAAACCCATTGTTGTAAATATTTATTTTGTTGAAGCTATTCTAACTTACAAGGGTTTTATAAGAAAAAACTTTGAGTTTTCATATAGAATCGAACTCAAACTTCAAGCATTAATGAGAAATTAAGATTGTTTCAATAACTGCGATGTTATGAATTCAATCCTGAAAAACCTAACTGAAAAAAAAAATCCAGCAATTCCAAGATTTTATGAATTCAAGAACAAAAGCAATCAGTATAATTCAAACGAAGTGTTAAAATAAAAAGAAAGAAGAGGGCAGAAGAAAGAGCGGCATATGTACAAAAGATTTAAGTTTTTCAATTTCTCATCAAGTCAGCTACAAATAGTAATATAAATAGTGCAAATCCAAGAGGTAACAGAAATACCAGAAATATGACCCCTTGGCTCTGCTATACATTCAATGAAGTTTTATATGCAAAATCAAGCTTCCCCATGAGATCTTTCCTTCCAATAAAGAAAATCTATCACCTTCAAGAATCTGTAAAGAATCATCAACATGATCATTTCAAGTCCTCGCAACGATTAAACCTCTGATCCCTTTAGTACAACTTGTTGAATCCAGAAGGCGGCAAAGATTCGCCTAATCTAGGCAAAAAGACTTCCCTTTCAAGTGATAGTTGAAGGGATGCCATGAGTTTAACTAAAGATGTCCAGGCAAAAGGTGCACAACAGAAGGCGTATCCAAAAACAGCTAAGGCTCTTACAACACCATCAGGATACCAAGGACATGCCATGACTAGAAGCACACCAAATATTCCTAGCCAAGGAGACAAAACATGCAACATCGGTAGCATAAACGCGTTGATTGCTATAGAGCAAAGCGTAAATGAGCCGACTAAGTACAATGCCCAACCTAACAGTGGATGAATTGTACAAGGAATAATAAAGAATGGGAGAACATAGGCTGCAAGTATTGACCATATTGCTATCAGTTTAAGACCAGCTTGTATTAAGGAGTTGCTCTTGTCTGTTTGCCTGTAACAAAGCTTTGAAAGACTTGGTCGAGCTAGCCGTGTTACTGCAATTATTCCTAAATATACTATGCACTGAATAAATGCCATAGGCATTTCTGCTCCATATCTGCAGAACAAAGTTGTGTTACTAATAATTCATTGTAAATTTCTTTGTTTTATTTATCATACTTGTAAGAGCCAACAACACATAAATTAAGAGCATGTACTTACCCAAGACTTTGAAGTCGCTGTTCATGCCATTGTATACCTAATGGCAAAACAGGCCATGACCACCAGTACCATGGTTTCAACCATGGTGCACCTGGGAAAGTAATCACACTATTTGGCCCGCAGGGTACATTCCACCGGAGACGAAGATCTGGAGTTAGCAAAAATGGAATACAGTTTAGAAAAAATACAGTCATATAATGTACAGATATATAGTTTGTTTGGCATTGTTGTTTGTGTTGCTGTTGAGAAAAACATTTTGATATACTTTATTAAGTTTTTAAATGAATTTCACAAATTTCAATCATAACAGTTACAGAATAATTAAACTGCAATTTGAACTGTTTTTCTCAACAGTATATAAAATAGTGTTTTTCTGGAAAGTACTTTCAACCTTAATGCCAGACATACTCATAATCTAGTGAGAGAATTAGCAAGAATTGCAATGAAACATAGATTTAATATTCCTTGGCCTACTCACAATAATAAGATGCATCCATTTGGTAGCCTAAAGGAAGCCTGTAAGATCCTTCAAGCTTAGTTCCATTAGCAGGAGGATAGAACATAGGCTTGTCAAGCAGGTCAGGAAAGTAGCCCCCAATAAAACCCTGGTCTGCACCATCTGAATTATCTAATCCAATATCCAATTGATGAAGCATGTCCTTAAACACTGTCATCGATGGCTGCAACACCAATATCCTCAAGTCAAAATTTGGCACGTGAAAAGAAAAAAGATATACCTTCAATGAAATAAATGCTGTAGATTGAAAATGAAAATTACCTGCAACACAAAAAGGCCAGTGTGGAAGATACATGGGTTGATGAAGACTGCACAGAACTGTCCACATTGGAACAATTCATCGGGTTTTCGAAGAAAAAGATTATCAGCATCAAGCATTACAACTCTGTCATAGTCTACGAGGCTCCATGCATAGAGTTTATTCAATGTCAACTTAAATCTCCTGTCAAAATTGTCTTGGTTCTTGTATGGATTATTCACATTTTCTACTCTTACTACTTTTGCTCCATCTTCCTGTTCACTGGAACATAAAAGCACAACTTATCAGTTACCATCACTTATCACTTCCTTAGTTCCTTCCAAGAAAAAGAAAATACGTTGACCAATAAGTACAATTTCCACACTGACAGAAAAATTTCATGATGGTTACAAAATTTATATGCAGAAATAATAACAATATCCAATGGCCTATAATTTTTCATATTAAATATTGATGGATGTCTTTTATATTATAACAGAGTTGAATTTGAAAATAAAATAATAATTTAGGTCATTATTTTACTGAATCTCTCATCTGGGTGTGGCACATGGGGAGGTTTTGGCAGGCACTTAAAAATAGAAATAGAGAATTGACTTGCGGATAACATTTGGCAGATGCATATAGAAAAAGAAAATTGGTAATAGATCACATGACATCCCTCAGCTATTGGTCAACTACAAAAAATATCTTAAATTAATTATTAAACCTTGCAGGCTGTTCTGTTTGGTTTGAACTGGCTATCAGAAAATTCCACCCATGTTTTTAACCTCTTTTATGCTTTTGGAAAAGACAGCACCAAAAGAAATTATTAATTTATATTCATCATTCTTAAGACTATGGCATCGCAAATTCAAGTTTGAATCAAATTTTAATTTAAAAAGAAAAATTACTTCTTTAATGAGATTTAATCTTTCCTTTCTCATGTAAAAGTTAAAAAACTATAACTCCATAAGTATATGCTCAATTTTTCAAATAGGATATGCAAAAAGTGAAGTTGGGTTCCCAATTGGATTTCCACTGTAAAAGTTAAAAAACTATAACTCAAAGTATATGCTCAATTTTCAAATAGGATATGCAAAAAGTGAGTTGGGTTCCCAATTGGATTTCCACTTGCGTCTGATCGATTGCGTGATAAATACCTTTGAAATTCCTAACACAGGCCCACCACAAATAGCACTAGTAAACCATTATGAGTTACTGACTCATTAGAAAGCACGCATTGCCCGTAAATTTCCTAATGCACTAAAAGTCATAAACGTGTCATGAAACGGTGACCATCATACCCCTCCTCCTTTTGAATGGGAAATTCCGCAATCATAAATGTTATTATGAAAAGCTCGGAACGTTGAAGGCATCACGAATGGTGACCATCATACCCCTCCTCCTTTTGATGTGACCATCATACCCCTCCCTCCTTTTGAATGTGAAATTTGCAAATCATATGTATTATTAAAAGTTGGAACATTGAGAATCGAGTAGTTTCATTATAAGAATTTCTGTTAATTTAAAGAGTTAAAAAAAATACATATATTAGAATATAAAATTTTGCTGATTATGCTCTCCTTTCTCTTCATAATAACAAGTAACCACTACCACAGCCACAACCAAATGATGCCAAAAGTTAAACCCAGGTAATGGCTCTCATGTAATTTAATTTAAATTGTCTCTTTCATAACAACTTGCTAATACAAAGTAAAAGCATTAGTTTAATTGGTAAAAATTGAAAATGATAGAAAATAAAATACTTGACGTCTTGCCTAGTAATTACTGATTGGACAAAACTGGGCGGTGCATAAATTTACTGTATCTAATCAATGCTCGTTTAACGCCAGGCGGGAAACCCCAGAATCAACTAAACTACGCCAGGGTCCACGGCGCACAATAAAAAAAAATTAAATTTAATTAATTCAAATAACGAAAAATGAAAGAAAAGAAGGGTTGAGATTTTGAGAGAAAGAGAGAGCGAGTTAACTTACAGCGCATGAACCCAACGGAGCGGGACGTCGACGGAGGCAATGACGACGAGATCAGCGTCCACATGAAGCCTAGCAAGGGATCTGATCATGACACGTATAGCCACGTAGAACTCATAGTCCCTTGGCGTTCCCATGTACATCATCGTCGCGTACGCGTTTCTATGCCGCTGCTCTTGTTTGAGCTGCTGCTGCTGCGGCGGTCTGATCTCTCCATACGCCGCAGTCTTACAAACAACCAAGAGAAGAAGCAGCAAAAACCGTAAAAGCCAAGTGTTTATCTTCCTATCACCAAAAGCCATTGATTTTCCCGTCTGGGTTTTAACCATAAAACCAAGAAGAAACAGTGGCGCTATCTAAATTTAATAAAAAAAATCTCAGCAATTAAAGATATGAGATAGAAAAAAAATCTCTTTATAAATATACCAAAAATGAATGAATAAGAATATGTGTGTTTGCTGAAGCGTTTGTAGCAATGTATGTATAGATATGGCAATCTGTTGACATATATATGTGCAAAGAAGGAAAGAGAGAGGAGGTGAGCTTGGAAAATGGAAAGGAAAGGGAAAGCGCAAAAAGAAAGCACTTATAAGGAAGGAGTATTCTGTAATTAGAAGAGACAATTTATTTGCCTCGGTGAAAATGAACAGAGTTTGACGACATAAACATCTCAGCCGTTGGTCGAGGACAAAGACTTGTCGGGAGATAAATTTATTTTTTCTTTTAAACTGTAATATAATGACAAACGAAATGTGAAATACAGAAATTACATGTGCAGATTTTAAAATATAGAAATCGGCCCTTAATTAGCCAATTCACAGCTAATTTATTCTAATAATTCTCACTAATTTATTCTTGCATTGCATGTTACCGATACAGTTTCAAACGAAGGAAGCTAGTTAATCCGCTAATTGGATTGATAATGAATAAATTAATCCGTTTAATTAAATTATACATTTATATATATAATTTTGTGTAAAGAGTTTTTTTATTTTTATATTAAAAAGCATCACTGCTTAAAAGGACTTTTGTATGCTATAGATTATTATTATTATCATAAGAACTACATTGTGGACTCACTTCTCTCCACCCGTTGACTCAGTCTAGCTTATTTAATAAAACAAATCTATGCAATTTTATTTTTCGTGATGTTGTTAACTACAGCATGGAATATATTGTTTGCTGACATAGTATCTGTGGTACCATTCACAGGTTTGAAAGAGTTTTTATAAAATGATATCCCTAATATTTAGGGTTTAATTAATTGAATCTTTTTTAATTATTAGTTTTTTCAAATGTACGATAGTACGTTGTCTGTAATATTAATTTTTTATACATTAAAAGTAAATTCATTTAATTTTATATATTGCAAGTAAATTTATTTAATTTTTATATATAATTTTTTATTATTTAATTTTATATATAATTTTTTATTAATATTTATTATAAATTAATAATATTATAAACTATTTATATTATTAATTATAGTTTTTTTCTTGAGAAAAGAAAAATTCTAATCAAAATTTTTAATATATATTAATTTGATAACGTAACATGTATATCAAAAAAAAAAAAAAAAAAAAAAAAAAAAAAAAAAAAAAAAAAAAAAAAAAGGTTTGTGAGGGGAGACACATAGGTGGGGCCTTGTTGGAAGTGGTCAGCTGAAAATCAGAAACCACTGGAAAAAGGTCCACTCGGTGCTTTAATGGCCAGTTGAATTTGACCGCCTTGCCCTTTTGGGTTTAGATTGGCTCCTTTATGCCTTATGGCAATCTGCTAGTTCTCATGTGCTTATTCTCTTCTAATATTGATATTTGGTACTTTTAACAAGTTTAAGGTTTAAAGAACACCGTGGGTTATATAATAAAATTAATATTTATTTTCACTTATTAAATTAAAATTTTTTACTCTCTGCATACAAGTAGAAAGACCAATCCGCATACTTTGAATTTTATCTTTATTAATTAACATTATAAATAATTTTTTTAATATTTTAATTTTGACACGAATGTTACTTCTTTAATTAAATAAACAAATATGACACGTAAATATACTTAACACGTAATTAACGTAGTTCATGACAAATACAATTAACCATTTTATGGTTAGACACTTCCCAAAGAAATTGCTTAAATTTCTTTTTATTTTAGCCACATCAAGAAAGGGATGTGTGCTATCTTTTTTGCTTGATTTGCAAAGTCATTGTCAATTTGCAAAATAAAATTGGTGTTTTTTACTTTTTTGAATATAATAAAATTGGTGTTAATATCAAAGCAACTCTTAAAATTAAATAAGCCTTTTGAAACTTAGTTCTCAACTAGAAAATTAATTAATTTATATTTTGATTAATTGTATTGATTGTATCTACTTGCTCTTGTGAGGTAACATTTTTTGTCTCTATTGTTTGCTATGAGTCCTATGAGATAAGAAAGATGCCTAACCCAAAAACCACTCGTGTCCCTCACAAAATGGCCTCTAATTTCATGATTTGAAAACCCACTAATCTCACTTCACTGTCATGTTATCTTATGAAACCCCACCCCCCCCCAGAAAATATAGTAGGATAGTGATTCTGAATTCCTATTATAGTCCAATGAGGAAATGCCAGCCAATACTTTCATAAATGTTTATATTTATAAATTATAGTGAAGGTATGATGCCATTCTCTTCTTGGGGATATACTTTTGTGATTTACTATTTAAATAAAGTATTAATAAGTGACTCACAGGTGTTGGGATAAATGGTTCGGCACTCTTCCTCTTTAAATAAAGTCGATGGTTTCATCTTTATAAATTGAACAAATATTTGCTGAGAAAATTCTATCTTTTGATGGATTGATCCAGTAAAAACCCACAAAAATTATTAAATTCATAAAAAATTTATCAACAGTTTTAAAAAATATTTTTATTATCGAATTTGTGTTCACGATTCAAATATTATAAAACTGAGATAATGTTTATTAATAATTTATTATATATATATTAAAAAAAAAAAATCCAAGCTTGCCTGATGGTGTAATGAAATCGGCCAATACCTCTTAATTATTAAATGAAAAACTCTTTAAATATTTAATTTATTACCGACCGATATTATCCGAGAATTAAAAGACAAACATGCAGCCAACTTCAATTATCTTCTGATAACGTCAGGCTAAAACGAGCTTATCCAATAACCGGCCGGTGAACGTGATTATGCAAAATATTTCTCAAGTAAAGTGCAAAGAGATATTTTTTTATATTTTATTTTATTATTAAACAAATAGAGTTGTAATTAAAGAAGGAGATTAATTAATTAATCAATTAATAAAAAATTATTTGTTTATCTTTTGTTTGAGCAATATGTAAAGTAGATTAGTGCATATAATAACGGCCGTGTACGGTGTAGATGCTACTGGGGAAGCTAGAGAAAAGGAACCTTCCCTTCAAAAGTTTGAAATGGTTGTACAAAAAAATAAAAAATACCACGGAAAAGGAACCTTCCCTTCCCTTATTAGTTGTTGCTGCCTAGGACAATTTTTTTTTTTTTTAATCAGAAAAAAATGTATTTTTCTTTGAATTATAGAGTGTAAAGGGTTGAAGATCACTTATGACTCCCAAACTAGTCCGTAGAAGCCATTTTTATTGACTTTCTGTAAGTTTAACCGCGTTTTTTTTTTTTCTTATTGTATAGTTCTACTCGCGGTTGACTCCTTAGCAAACGAACCAGTCCAACCCAAGAACGAGTGACCTGACCAGACCAGACCACTAGCCAAATTGGAGACTTGGCCAACAAATGATTGGTTATTTAAAGCTGAAAAAGGGTAAACTAACACTGGCTTAACAGCTAAGACTGGGTCATGGTTCCTGAATAAAGGAGAAATTGGAGTCGCTTGCATGCTATGCGTTACTGTTTTTAACCGAAATTTCTCCTTTATTCAGAATAATTATTGGTAGTGGATTTGGATTCATACCAAAATTAAAGAACCAGCTAAATTATTTGCATATTAATGTCAAGTCTTGTTCCTTTGTTAACCCTTTAATGACAATATAAATTATTGTATTAAAATTCTTCAGAACTAATTAAATGTGGATTAAAGCAACATTAATGGTTCACCTAACCGTCTTTAAAAAAAATGTTAATATTTTGTTTATTTAAATTATATAAATCAAAATTTTGTGTTTAAAAGATTTTGCTTTTCTTCCCCTTTTCAACTGTTGAACAAAATTTGACCCAATTGCTGTTTTCGTGAGGCCCAGTTTAATAATCCAACCTACAGGAACAGAGATGTCAAAAAGGCCTCTTCCAGCCTAGTTTAGCTGAGGTATTTTTGGGTCATTGGGTTTGGTATGACTGACTAGTTCTTCTTCTACAGCAAGAGCCTGGCTAGGCGATGATCACAGGCCATGGATCTTGGACTAAACTGAATCACTATGTGATCCTTTTGCATTGCTTCCAAAACATTCTTTTTCTTTTTCTGCTTTTTCCTGAACGGGTTTTTTGTTATCGGAATCCCGTAAGAGTTGGAAATTTTGAATTCCAATATTTCAAAAAAATAAAATTTCTAAAGTACATAGTAGCCCATCCTTATTTTTCTATGTATGTGGAAAACTATGTTCTTGTCTCTAATGATGAGAAAATTAAATTTATATAGAAAATAAAAAATTTTAAATTATATAATAATATTTATCACAATTATTTTATTCTCCTGAAAAACTTCCATTATCATCTAAAAACGATAATTTAACTTTTCTACTGGACGATTCTGAAATCCTAAAAAAAAATTAGGATAAAAAGAATTGAATTCCAATAACCAAAAACGCAACTTTTTTTTATTCATAGATTGAGAGCTCATTTGACATCTGGGTTAAAACTAATTTTCTAAAAAAAAAAATCTTGAATTATAAAAAATATTTTTATAATTTTTGCAATTTTTTGAAATTTTCAATTGGTACAGAGCATATTGAAAATGATTAGCATAGTTGGAAATGTCGGCACACGTAGGCATGGAGTAGTTTGTTCGGTTTAGATATTGTTTGAAAATTATTGTTGGGTAGTTGGGATAGATTATATAGAGCTGTCTTTTCTTTTATTTTCTTTATTTTTTTCTCTTTTCCATTTATTTTTGTTTTGTTGCAAATTAGCCTTCTAAAGGATTTTTTTATTATTTTTTCTCAATTTAAATTCGCTGAATGCATGTGGTCCATTTATGAAACCCTCATTCATTTCTGCACTTTTATTTTTAAAATTAAATTGAGAAAATATTCAGTGTTGTACCACTAAAAATAATTTATATTCAATAAATATAATTTTATAAATTGAAATATTGAATTATTTAAATTTTATAATATACATGTATTCAATGAACCAAGTAAAAGAGTCGTGAATGATATAAATATTTTACTTTTGTAAAGTTGAAGTGATAATTTTAATAGACATCTATTGATGGTGAAATAAATAAAAATTATGAAAGCTTGTAAGATGCGATTAGCAAGGAATCAAGTATGTCATTGGTCTGTTAATTTTTTCTTAATTGGCAAGATATTTCTTGCCATGGACCACCACCATCACACCTGCCATCTTTTACTGCTAAGAAAAGCAAAAGCTACATAATTAAGGTTTCCTAAATTTTTACTTAACGCCTAAATTATTTGGTT